GTGACAAGCGGCCGGCCAGAGGAGGCCTCCAATCCGATCAGGGTGCTGGCCTCTCCTGGCCAGCACGTGTCCACTGCCCCGGGCGTACGATATGGTGGTGAGAGAAAAAAGGGAGGGGGGTGCGGCACGGTGCGTGGGCCTGTGGACGTGGGACACGTGGAGGATGGTGAGGAAGGCAGATTAGGAGTTTACACATGGACGGTGCAGTGATTGGGGGTTCTGATATAAATAGGAGTTTCTTGTCTCTCCTTCGGACATCACGTCCTGAGCATTACAAGGACCTTGGCTTAGCTGTCTCTGGTCTATACTCTCAACCCAATCACCTAGGTTTGACTTTTGTTAGTAACATTATTATTCCTAGCCCGTTCTTCGGGCCATAGTCTTGGTATTTGGGTTGCCATTTTAGGCCAGTATCTCAGGTTTTGTACGCATACACTTTGGCCTAACACCTCGGATAATAAAGTTACTATTTTCCAACTCCGTACTGTACCTCTATACTCGGTTTATGATGGACCTGGTTCCAATAAAACCATCCATGATAATAAGTTTAAGTTGAAAATAAAAACATAGAAGATGAAAGTTATGAATTGTTTGATATATTTTGACTTGGTTCCAAATTGTCGCATGGACCCGGGATCCTAGTCCATAATATACATGTTTGATTGGAGGTCGAATATGTTGGATTATCTAAGGTATGGCAAATTATGCCGTGGAATCGAGGTGGACACAGTTTCAAAATTGGTCATAATTATGAATATATAGTTCAAAAATTATGAATATATAATTCTATAATTATGAACATAGAGTTTTGAACATATAGTTCTGTAATTATGAATATAGATATTAAATAATTGTGAATATGAATATATAGCTTTATAATTATAAACATATAGTTTAGTAATTATGAACATAGAATTCTGTAATTGTGAATATAAAGTTCAATAATTATGAATATGAAGTTTAAAAATTATGAATATATAGCTTTAAACACAAAAAGTTCTTTTCGAATGAATTAATAATTAAATGAACACAAAAAACATGATCGTCTTATAGATCTTCATCTAACAATATGTTAGATGAATCTTAAAAATGGATATGAGCTCGACCAACAAAATGAGTTGGGTTGTTTCAAAAAAGTAAGGCGGAAGCTTGATCCACCATTATTGAACGAGCATTAGTTTTTATTTTTTCCGTCTTATTTTATATGATGGTTTAGATAATAAGACTTAACTGAACTTATTTACAATTCAATTTTTCATAATATTAAATTTATAATTAATATATATAATTTATATATTTAGAAACTAAATTAAAAATACTATTAAACACAAAATATCAAATATAAAAATCACAAGAAAATACTAATGAAATTAAGCAAGAAAGAAATGGTTTCTTGACCGATGAATAGTAGACATAGGAAGTAAAGTAATATGCTTTATTTTAAAAGTATTAGTTTACTACATTAAAATTGTTACTATTATTATTATTTTTTATACAAAAGTTATTATGGTGAGAAAAACGAATATACAATAATGAGATTTGAAAGGACATCCCGCACGGTTCTAATACTCTCTATATGGTTGTGTAAACAGAAATTTGAAAGGACAGGATCTGCAAGGTGTCCTCCCTCCTGCTTTGGTGAAGTTACCCTTTCTCAAGACAATGTACCAACACTCACTTTCTAAATTTATGCAATAATCACCTCTTCTTGTTGGTATTCTCACTACTGGAAATTATGAAATTTCCGACCACTTGAAAGTGATCTTAAATCAAGTCGAAAGCCTTGTTCCGACCACTTTTGGTATCCAGAAAAACCTTTGTTACTATTTCCGACCACTTTTTGGTATCAACTTGATTTAAAATCACTTTCAAGTGGTCGGAAATTTCATAATTTCCAGTAGTGTCTTTGCTTGATTATTAGTTTTATTTTGTGCAGTGATCTCACCCGCAACTACTTAAGTGGTACAATCCCCCCTGAATGGGCTTCTATGAAACTGGAACTTATGTAAGTTGTGTTGTTATTATAACCTAAGCTATATAAATGTAAGCCATCTGCTAGTTTCTAAAGAAGTGAAAATTTGCAGATCTCTTACTGTGAATCGATTGTCTGGGCCAATTCCAAAATACTTGGGAAGTATAACAACTCTTACATATTTGTATGTTCTCTTGCTCCTATCACTCCTCTACTTACACAACTAAATTAAACTTTCGTTTAACTTTTTATTATGGGGAACTTATTGCTTGTGTTTTGTTCTAACAACAAACTAAATAAACTTTCAGAAGCTTGGAGAACAATATGTTCACTGGAAGTGTTCCACCTGAGCTTGGGAAACTTGTCAACTTACAACATTTGTAAGCATTTGCTAATCAAATTAAATAAAAGAAACTTACAACTAGAATTTTATTTTTTTGTTCAATTCTCACTTGTCTGATGCTTTCTGTAGCTTTCTTAGTGGTAATTATCTCACAGGTGAATTGCCAAAAGAACTTAATGCTCTCACAGAACTGATAGAACTGTAAGGGAATCATCATTCATATTCCTAATTTATGAACCTCTTTTCGTGTTTCTTCTACACTTTAAGCTCACCTAGCATGTGTTCATCAATGCAGAAGGCTCAGCAGTAATAACTTCACTGGGAAACTGCCTAGCTTTCCGAGTTTGAAAAACCTTCAAATCCTGTAAGCATTCGAATCTAACACTTTAAAATTGAAATCATTTCTGATTGACAAGCATATATGATTGGCAGAGAGCTTCAAGCAAGTGGTTTTGAAGGACCCATACCTCAAAATATTTCTGTATCGACAAGCCTGATACAACTGTGAGTTAAGATTCGACAGTTTAGTTAATACTCACACACATTTTGTTTATAGCAGAACTTTATAAGGTTACGATCCACAAACTAAAATGTAGTTGTGAATAACATGAATCTGCAGTAGAATCAGCGACCTAAATGGAGGTGGTGTCTCCAGATTTCCTACATTAAAGCACATGACAAACCTTACAAAGCTGTGAGTAATGCCTTTTCTTTCCAAAAAACATGAAGTTCAGTTTCATAATTCCACTATCAATTGAAAATTATTTATGTAATATTTTGGGTGTGCAGGATGTTGAGGGCGTGTAATATTTCTGGGAAGATAGCTGATTTAGCTAATATGAAAAGCTTGTCACAACTGTAATTTCTGCAACTTGAATTTTCTTTTGATCCTTCTCAGCTGTTAATTAATGAACTGTTATATATTCTCTGCTTTACTGTTTTGTTATGATATTGAGTTTGCAGAGATTTGAGTTTCAATAATTTGGAAGGAGGGATTGATGGTCTTCAAAATGCTGATAAAGTGCAGTACTTGTGAGTAACAAATCAATTTTGATGTTAACCATTATGCACAAGAAACTTCCACTCTAGACTAATAACCTCTCTTTGTTTTCGAATTCAATTTTACTCGCTTCTTAATTAGGTATCTAACGAACAACTCGCTAAGTGGGCAACTACCTCAATGGGTTCTAAATCGAGGTTCCTCATAGTAAGTCTAGTTTTTCAAGTTAGTTACATATCCAGAATTCACTACTGGAAATTATGAAATTTCCGACCACCTGAAAGTGATCTTTTTTTTTTTTTTTGGTGTAAACCACACATTGTGGTCCGGGTCTTTCTCTGTCCGTTTAACGGTCCAGGTCCACCCGGTTCGCTCCGAGAGGCACAGAAGCTGGCCCAAAGGGAATCGTCACTTGTGGGAATCGAACCCGGGTTATAACTGAAAGTGATCTTAAATCAAGTCAAAAGTCTTGTTCCGACTACTTTTTGTATCCGGAAAAACCTTTGTTGCTATTTCCGACCACTTTTTGGTTTCAACTTGATTTAAGATCACTTTCAGGTGGTCGGAAATTTCATAATTTCCAGTAGTGATTTGTGATGAGTTTTAAACTACTCTCTTACGTTGTAAAAAAGGACTAATAGAATTTAAACAATGGCGTGCAGCTACACCGATCTTTCTTACAATAATTTTGAGGAGAATTTTGTGTCACCAACTTGCAATCGAGAAACCCTGTAAGATTCACTCTACTATGCATTACTCTTTCAAGTATTCCTTCAAAAATAGATGGTTGATTTTAGCTTTCTCATTTTCTATCAGAAACTTGTTCAAAAGCTATAATGAAGGAGAAAATGGGTAAGTTTAACATCCTCTTGTAAATGAAAGCGTGAATATAGTATAATTTAGTCTACTCCAAATTAAAGATTTCTAACTTTATTCCCCTTTTTGCTTTATATAGAAAAATTGGAAAGTGTTTAAAGAATTGCACTAAAGGTATGCACATCATATCACAATATTTGCATCATCTATCCCTTGCTTAATTAGTTGAGTTGAACTTCTTTCACAGTTTTTTATTTTTTTTGCCATTTTGTGCAGATTGGTATTCATTTCACATCAATTGTGGGGGAGGCGATGTTGTAATTGATGGCACTACATATGACGCAGATAAAGATTCTACAGGCTATGCGCGATTTGTTTCTAACAAAGAGAACTGGGTAACTAGTAATACGGGGTACTTTTGGGACAGAACCTTAAATTTATCTGACTATACAGCAACAAATGTATCAGTCATCAAAGAAAAAGACTCCGAAATCTACCAGACGGCTCGTTTGTCTCCTTTATCTCTGACATATCACGGACGCTGTTTAGCGAATGGAAACTACAATGTGAAACTTCATTTTGCAGAGATAGTTTTGAGAGATAATAGCTCTTTTCAAAGTCTTGGTAGACGCATATTTGATGTTTATATACAGGTCGAACAAGAACTTTACAGTTTAAATTGATCACTTTAACGGTCGAGTAATGTGTTGTTAACTATTGTGATTTTATGGTTACAGGGTGAAAGGAAATTAAAGGATTTTGATATTGAAACTGAAGCACAAGGAGCCGATAAGGCTTTAGTTAAACAATTCGAAGCAGTTGTCAGAGATAAAACTCTCGAGGTGCGCTTTGAATATGCTGGAAAAGGAACAACAGCAGCTCCAATTAAAGGATCATATGGACCTTTAGTATCTGCCATTTCTGTGGAATCTGGTAATATTAGTGATGACTCCTGTATATTTAATTAATAGCATATATTTGCAGATTACTTTTCCATTGATTCTGTTTAGTTGTTGATAAATAAAAGATATCAAACTCACTTTCATTCCCTTTCTTCAAATCTGCAGATTTCAAATCTGCCAAAGAGAGAAAGAGATTGATCATACTTGTCGCAGTAGCTGCTTCTTTGTTTCTTATTTTTGCAATTCTCTGCTTTGCTGGGTGGAAGATTTACATTAGAAACAAGGTCTCACAGGAAAAGGGTAATATACACATTCAGTTTCAAATACTTTCTGGCTAGTTGTTGCACCCTTAGATAGATTCATCCAAAAACATTTTCTTTTAATGCACTAGCAAATTCTTTAAAGTAATTTTCTTTGTGCAGAGCTACAAGGCCTTGATCTACGAACTCGTCTATTTACCATGAGACAAATTAAAGTAGCTACAAATAACTTTGATGTTGCAAATAAGATCGGGGCAGGTGGTTTTGGGCCTGTCTATAAGGTATAGAGAAATATAAATATTTATAATATGTTAATATGTTAGTTCATACCATGACATTTTTTTTTCTGGACTTACTATAGATGCTTATGTTGATGATCTTAGATTTCTCATTGTTTATAAAACCAGGGTACATTATCCGATGGTACAGTTATTGCTGTGAAACAACTCTCATCTAAATCAAGACAAGGATACCGGGAATTTTTGAATGAAATAGGCATGATTTCATGTTTGCAGCACCCCAACCTTGTGAAACTTTATGGGTGTTGTGTAGAAAGAAAGCCGTTGCTGCTGGTATATGAATACATGGAAAACAATAGCCTTGCCAATGCTCTTTTTGGTAAATTTTGAATCTTATTTTTTTCAGCTGCTAGTCACAATAAAAAATATCAGCCAACAAACTAAACAAAGACATTAATTTTCCGTATGTATATATAAGATGTGCTACTAGAAACATGATGATTTAGTTTATTTTATCAAAGAAAAACATAAGTATCCTGAGTAAATAGTTAATTACAGGTTCAGAAGATCGACAACTGAAAATAGATTGGGCTACTAGACAAAGAATTTGTGTCGGTATTGCAAAAGGTTTAGCTTTCCTGCATGAAGAATCAACAATAAAAGTTGTTCATAGAGACATTAAAACCGCCAATGTGCTTCTTGACAAGGAACTCAATCCAAAAATTTCTGACTTTGGTTTAGCTAAACTTGACGATGATGAGAAGTCACACATCAGTACAAGAGTTGCTGGGACAATGTAAGATGTTATTACAATGTGTCATCCATTTTGTATTCCAAATTGAGCATATAGTTGAAAGAAACATTTACTCTTCTTTTATTCCTCTGCAGAGGATACACGGCTCCTGAATATGCATTGTGGGGCTACTTAACATTCAAAGCTGATGTCTATAGTTTCGGGGTGGTGGCACTAGAAATTGTTTCTGGGAAGAACAACATGAAATTTCGCCCCGATGAGAACTACGTTTGCCTCCTTGATTGGGTGAGATACAAATATACTACCAAACTCATAATTCATAGATTGCATATATACCTATCAAATTAAGTGGCCTATTCTTATACTTTGCCCGTGCTTTGTTGTATTTATACAAAACTTTTAGGCACTTGTTCTTCAAGAAAAAGGAAACTTAATGGAGCTAATAGATCCAAGATTGGGTTCTGATTTTGACAAAGAACAAGCACTCAAAATGCTCGAAGTAGCTTTGCTATGTACTAATCCTTCACCAGTCCTTAGGCCATCTATGTCTACAGTTGTTAGCATGCTTGAAGGCAATGGTGATATTCTCGAGTACAAATCCAACATACGTGAATTAAATTTCCAAGCAGTGTGAGTTCATTATGAAGAAATGTCAATTGGCTCAAGTGATTCTCCCAACAAAGTAGACATTTGTTCATAAGCAAATTAATTGTGAAAAGTTGCATAAAAAATAAAAGAAATTGTATTTTAATGTTGTATGAATCATTAAGAAACTATGCAAACTAGTTCGATCTATGAATCCTGCATTTGCATTTGGGTGTGTTTGGTTCGCATATTGGAATTGGAATAGAAATATGAATCAAATACTTACTATGAAAATGGTTTCAGGTGAAAGTATTTTGCATGTTTGGTAGTAGGGGGAATTGGAATGATTACTAATATTGATGTTTGGTTATGTATGATGTGGCATAAAGATTTTAAAACACACAAAAATAAAAATAAAAAAATCAAGGCAATTGATCATAATATAATGACATTCAAAAAACCAAAATGTTGGTCCCGGTAGGGTCGAGAGAGAGTCTAGAGGGGGGGGGGGTGAAAGACTTTAATCGATTTTTCAGATTAACTCCTTTCGGAGTTATGCATAGCGGAATATGTATGATTGATTTAAGATGAACTTTGGACAGTTTCGTTTATGGAAGCTTATGATGTGGTCAGTATGACATGCAATGCAAATATGATAAGTAGCTTGTAACTAAAGAGAGATAGAGAAAGAGATTTTTATAGTGGTTCGGCTATTAACGAAGCCTACTCCACTCTTCTTCCACAACTTAAGAAAGGGTTTCCACTATCACTCCTAGTACAAACTACTCAAGCTAGCTTCCTTGATCACTAAGCCGGACAGCTACTCGAAGCTTTCAGTATTCATGTGGAAGCTTCTGCGAAGACTTCTCCCTTTTCCAGACGTGATTGAAACTTTTGGTTTTTGTCTCCCCTCGGTCTGTCCTTTCTGTAAGGGCGCGAGTGCGAGCTTAGAGCACTGTCTGTTGCACTGTTGCAAAGTCAACGAGGTTTGGCTTTATTTTGGAAATGTCTTTGTCTTATCTTTGCAAAACATCACCTCGGTGCGTGCAGCTTGCCATTCATGGTGGTTGCTCCCAACAAGGGACTCGGCTTCTAAGCACTTTGCAAAACTAATGCCGTGTCTTCTTCTTTGGTTCTGCTGGCGAGCGTACAACGAATGCATCTTTGACGTCTCCCTCTTCTCCTCATCGGGATTAATTTCATGTATCAAGCAGGAATCGCTTTTTATCCCCCAGTCTCGATCACTCCGAAGCCATGGCGATTCTGCCAGCTTTCTTCTATCTGCAGGTCTGGTGGCTAACTTTGATGAGCCACCAAGGCGTTGAACAATTTGGATAAAGTGGCTAACGCCACCTCGGGGTTGCTTCAAACTCAACACGGACGCCATCTTCACGCAGGGCGGTGCAGCAGGCGGCGCATGCGTGAGGGACTATGGTGGCAATCTGGTGGCAGGCCTCTCATTCAGTCTCTCGGCGGATTCAGTTCTGGAGGCTGAGGCATTAGCTTTGCATTTCGCACTGCAATGGTGCAGCATTGTAATGATGGTCCCCAATTTCATAGAGGTGGATTCGCTTGCTCTAGTACACCTTGTTTCCTTGTCAACGGCGACTGCACCTTGGAAGTTTCGGTCTGCAATATTAGACACACGAGCTCTCCTCTCATTATGGGGCTCCTCGGTTCGACATGTTTATAGGGAAGAAAATCGGGTTGCGGATGCCTTTGCAACGGTCGGCCTTTACTCCCGCTTTGTCAAAATTTATTGTACCATTAGCTCTTTGCTAGAAGCTGCTAAGCTTGCTCTATTGTATGACCTTCGCGGTTTTGCAACTATTCGGGCTATTGGCCATCAATAAAATTCACTCTTCAATTTAAAAAAAAAAATATTTTATATATTAACATGTCGCTGTGCAAAAAACTCACAAAAGAATTACTTGAGTTCATGGCCGTTCCGGGATTTAGTAACAATGTTTAATTATGCAAAAGATAAAAATTTAAAAATTCACTTGGGGTAGATAATAGAATTAATAGATAATACAATTAAACAAAAGATAAAAATTTAAAAATTCACTTGGGGTAGATAATAGAATTAATAGATAATACAATTGGCAGGAACACATAAGCGAACACATAAGCAAGCACATAATACAATTAGCAATCAACATCACGTTTTGATAACAAAATATTGAATTTGACTTTAATTTTCGAACTGGTGCCCAACAATTTCATTCAACATTTTAATGAGTTGGTTGGAATGTAATTGCGGTCGACTTTTCTTTTATTCCTTTGTTCATGCATGTCTGGGTATGCATATAGATTGGTAGCCCCTACACATTATTCATATTATTTGATTCAACATTTCAATTTTAAATTTATAACGTGTGAAGAGATTAACTGTATGTTTATTGATTGTAAAGCACACCCTATATATAGTACATGACGGAGTGAAGATAGCAGGAAGTTACAACGAAATACAACTAGTCTATAGGAGCACAAATAGAATAAATAACAACTAAAGATATACTAGCCACATATTGGCTTAACACACCCCTGCAAGATGGAGGATCCGTCGGAGACTCCAATCTTGGACCGAAGCTGAAGAAAGAGGCGACGACCCAGTGACTTAGTCAGAAGATCGGCTAGTTGAGCTGAAGACGAAACGTGCCGCACAACTAGCGTACCATTTGCAACCAAATCCCGGACAAAATAGTAATCCAAGGCGAGATGCTTCATGCAGGAATGAAACACACTATTCTTGCAAACGTACATGGCGCTCAAGTTTTCACAAAACAGGACCGGAGGCTCAACCAGCCCCAATTTCAACTCTTGCAACAGATTCTGCATTCGCCAAGGCCCGATACTCCGCCTCCGTGGACGATCGCGAGACAGACTTCTGACGCGTAGACTTCCAAGAGATTAGATTGTCGCCTAGGTACACCAGATATGCAGTAGTGGAACGACCCTCAGTGGACGGTCCACCCCAATCTGAATCAGTGTATACCCGCAACGAAAGGGCTGACCTGGCGGTTCCTTTTAGATACCGCAGGAGGCGTTTGGCGGCTTGCCAGTGTAACTCCGAGGGTGCATGCATGAACTGCGAAAGCCTGTTGACAGCAAACGCCACATCCGGACGTGTAATCACCAAGTACTGCATAAGACCAAGCAAGCGACGAAACTGAGTGGCATCAGTCGCAACATCAGACGGTCGCAGCGGTACCAACTTCTCTGAAGCAGCCAGCGGTGTTGAAACATCCTTTGCACCATCCATCTTGAACTGCGTCAGTATGCCAGTAATATACTGACTTTGAGACAGAAAAATTCCACCACCAGTAGGAATGACCTCCACGCCCAGGAAATGATGTAAAGTACCAAGATCTTTAAGGGCAAATTGTGCTGACAGGGACCCCACAAAATGATCAAGCCAGGTAGAGTTATTACCTGTCAACAAAATGTCATCGACATATACTAAAAAGTAGACAATTACACCTTTGGCAGAATAAACAAAAAGTGAAGCATCAGCTTGTGACTTAATAAACCCAGACCGCTGCAAGAATAAAGAGAGTTCCTGGTACCAAGCTCGCGGAGCCTGTTTAAGGCCATACAGAGCCTTCGTTAATTTGCAGATATGAGATGGATACAGCAGATCAACGTAACCGGGCGGTTGGTCCATGTAGACTTCCTCATGTAAAGTCCCGTGCAAAAACGCGTTGTTGATGTCCAATTGGCGCAGACCCCAGTCGTTACTCAACGCAATAGCCAGAACCAACCTGATGGTGACCGGTTTCATAACCGGGCTATAGGTCTCAAAGTAATCCCGGCCAGCAGTTTGTAAGAAGCCTTTGGCCACAAGGCGTGCCTTGTACCGATCAACTGAGCCATCAAGTTTACGCTTTACACAGTAAACCCATTTACAACCAATGGGAACCCCAACACCGCGAGGAACCAGGCACCACGTTTTGTTACGTTGGAGTGCATCAAACTCTTCGTCCATAGCTTTCCTCCACCGAGCATCCTTCAAGGCCTGAGCAACGGTAGATGGTTCTAAAGTGGGAGGTAAGGGATGCGCTATGGTGTGGTTGATAACATAGTCAGAATACCTGGGGTTAGGACGACGTGGTCTAGTGGAGCGACGCAGCCCATCCTGTGACTGAGAGGCATCGGACGACGACTGTTTGGGCTGACTGGGTGGTTGATCGGTTGTAGTAACAGTGGGTGACGAACGACGGCTGGTTTGGTCATTTTCTGAGATAGTGGGAGACGGTGTTGGAACGGGCATTGGAACGGGTGTTGGTACTGGAGTCGGAACTGGAGTTGGAACTGGTGTTGGAACTAGAGTTGGAACTGGAGTCGGAACTGGTGTTGGAACTGGTGTTGAAATGGGTGTTGGAACTAGACTCTGAACTGGAGTTGGAACTGGTGTTGGAATAGGTGTTGGAACTAGAGTTGGAACACCCACGAGCTGTACCTGTGTAGACAAAGTAGACGACTTGCACACGATACGTCGTGATTCAGAATCATGAGAATCAGAAGGTAAGCTATTAGATGACTTTTGCAAATCGTTATAAGGAAACACATAAGGCACAAATCTAACATGTCTAGATACATAAATGCGATTCGAACTGTAATCTAGACATTTATAACCGGATTGGGTGGTTGAATAGCCAAGGAAAATGCATGGACATGACCTCGGTTGTAGTTTCTTGGTGTTATAGGGACGCAACCAGGGAAAACATAAGCAACCAAAGGGTTGTAACTTATCATAGTTGGGTTTTTGTTTGAACAAAACTTGATAAGGAGATTGATTACCTAATACCGGAGTTGGAAGTCGATTGATGAGATAGACGACAACCTGAAACGCGTGAGACCAGAATGAAGAATGCAAAGAAGCAGCGTGAAGGAGTGACATTCCATTCTCAACGACATGCCTGTGTCTCCGTTCAGCCATGCCATTATGCTCAGGTGTATGTGGAGGAGTCAAAAAATGTGAAATGCCATGAGCATTGAACATCGAAATTAATTTAATGAACTCCCCACCATTGTCAGAATAAACTGACACAATTGACAGACCAAAAAACTTCTCCACTAACCTTTTAAACTGAGGAAAAATCAAAGAAACATCAGACTTTTGTTTTATAGGATATAACCAGACATACCTAGAGAAGTGATCTACAAATATAACATAATAAGCAAAAAGTCATCAATAGATTTTTCTGTCGGACCTCATACATCAGTGTAGAGCAGTTGTAGAGGACTAGTGCTAACAAGTGTGCTTTGGAAAAAAGGTAATTTATGACTTTTGTATACATTGCATGATTGGCAGGAAAACTTATTTAGTGCTGACATAGACATGGGAACGTTGCAATGTTGCAACACACGATGCAACACCTTATTAGACGGATGGCCTAGACAATGGTGCCACTGGGAAACACGAGACAGCTGCATGGAATTGGATGTAGGTTGACGCAGGAGAGGTGCATAATAGACACCATTAATGTTCGCCCCCCGTAGTAACGACATCCCCGTTCGATGATCCTTCACAAGAAAGTGGGAATCAAAGAATTCCACCGACACTTGATTAGTTTTGCACAATTGTGATATGGATATTAAATTATTATGCAACTGTGGAACACGTAGGACATTTTGGAGAGTGAGCACGGAAGAAGGAGTGAGAATAGATGACTGACAATGTGAGAGATGTTTAAAGAATTACCGTCGCCCAGTTGTATCCCATCAGGCCCATTATACTCGGTGAAAGTGTGCAGAGGAGACATATCCGGTGTGGCATGGTGGGATGCCCCGCTGTCAAACATCCACGGCGTAGTCACTCCCACAATAGAATTACCTGCAGGTGACTGAGACTGAGGAAATGTAGAAGCCTGCACGGGAAACACATTATGGGCCTTTAAGAACCGGGCTAACTTACGGCAAACATGAGTTTCATGGCCAACAAGGTGACATAATTGACACACAACACCAGGTCGAGTGTTGCTATTGTGCGACCAATTCGGTCTATTATTGCCATACGTGTTGTTGGTGTTGTTGCGGGACCTCCGATCGGCAGTGGAGTGCTGACTGTTGCTAGAAGCCGAAGGACCACGCTGGGAGGCATTGGCAGTAGCCAAAAGAGATTGGCGAGCATCATCAACTTCAGCCAACTGACGCTCATGATCTGTGAGCGCATCGGCTAATTCTCCCAAAGAAATGGGTTTGTCACGGACACGAACGGCAGATACGATGGAGCTGTACTCGTCCCCTAGTTGTGTTAAAATATACACAACCATGTCTTCATCAGAAATAGGGCATTGAGCCAGGGCGAGGTCATCAGCTATTGAGCGCATGTCATTCAAAAAGGCGGTGAATGACCGATTACCCTTTGGATTTCTGGTAAGCTTGGCCTTGAGGGAAATGATCCGTCCTCGGGAAGCGCTAGCATAGTTAGCAACGAGCCGTTGCCAGGCATCACACGCAGTGGGTGTGGAAGCTATAAGAGGTTGTATGGTGTCTGAACAGCTCCCAAGTAAAGCACTGGTAATTATCTGATCTTGGCGATACCAAGTAAAATGTGCTGGATTCGGAGTTGTTTGTGCAGTATCATTGAATTTTGCTGGTTCTTTGATAGAACCATCGATGTATCCCAGGAGATTAAAGCCAACCAAGGTGGACTGAACTTGGCGTCTCCAGACAGGAAAGTTGAGGGGGGTGAGTTTGATAGGAAAACTAGACGGAGCATTGAGGTGAACAATGTCAATGGTGGTGGTAGCCATGTATATAAGACTGGCAAAAGAGGAGAGGAAAAAAAAAACTCCTTAGGGGAATATGGCTCTTGATACCATGTGAAGAGATTAACTGTATGTTTATTGATTGTAAAGCACACCCTATATATAATACATGGCGGAGTGAAGATTGCAGGAAGTTACAACCAAATACAACTAGTCTATAGGAGCACAAATAGAATAAATAACAACTAAAGATATACTAGCCACATATTGGCTTTAACATAACGAAGCCATTTAATTGTCAAAGTTGAATAATTTAATTAAATTGTGATGTCTCGTAACTAATATAAAATCAAGTTGGATATCAGGTATCAAAATTTGAAAGAAATGAAATGTGAGATTCAATTTCAATCATCTTGTAATTTATTTCATTCATCAAAACTTTAAGACTGGGCAAGTGGGGGCTTGGGGTTCAATCATGTTAGGGGAAATTATAAAAAAATGCCCATCTATAATATGCCAATTATCAATGTCACCCCTGAATTATGAATGGTGTAAATGTTGCCCCTCAATTATTAAAACGGTGCACATATAGCCCCTCCCGTAACGGATATGTGGTTCCCCACCGCTGTCCATCGCTGGTACTTCGAATCGAGGGACAGAAAAAACAACTAACCGTTAGACATCCGTTAATTCGGGACCAAATTGGTAATTTTGCTATAGTCAATGGACAATTTCGATCATCAAACATGCACCATTTTGCTATAGTAGTTGTTTCAATCTATTACTTATAAATTTTGTTAACATTGAAAATTTATTTTGATTTGCAAAATTATTAGAGGACAAATTGGTTATTTTGTAAAACTTTTTCAAGTATAAGAAAATAACCTTTTTACATTGGTAATTTCAAGTGAATGTTGGGTTTATATTGTAATGTTGATTACACGAATACCTTAGTCTATAATTTAGACATAATTAATGGACTAAAACCCTCATTATATTTCACACTTTGAGAAAAAAAAATATAATATGAACCTCTATATATATTACACTCACATATCTTTATTATATAAGACAATTGATTCTTTATACCTATTTTTTTCAATAATTTATTTTCCACCGATAAATAATATAATCAATGCTTCAAGTAATTTTTTTTTCATAAAATTTAAATTCAATTCCTTCTCAATTTTTTTTTAATAAACTAAATCAGTTGTTAAATTGTTTATTAGGAACATAATTCTCAATTTTTATTGCATTGCGATTTTAATCATGTCAGATTGTAATTTTAATCTTTAGATTATAGACATTTTGTTTAAATTTTTTGCTTTCTAATTATCATTATTATGAGAAAGTGAAAACCAGAACATGAAAATTCAAAAATTATTTATACATGTATTAAACAGTTAAAAACTAAATTTATTATTATTTAATAATAGAGAAAATTCATCTCATATTTTCATGTAATCAACATTACAACAAACCCAACATTCACTTGAAATCATCAATGTGAAAAACTCATTTTGTTATACTTGGAAATTTTTTTACAAAATGAACAATTTATCATCTAATAATTTGGCAAGTCAAAATAAATTTTTAATTTTAACAAAATTTAGATGTAATGGGTTGAAACAACCACTTTCAACATAATTAAAGAGGAAAAATTGTATAGAGCAATAATTTATGAACTGAATCTACAATTTAAGCATAATTAATGGACTAAAATTGCTATTTTAATTTCTCTTTCTACTATGTATACTATCAAGTCTATTTCATCATCACTTTTACTTTTGATGTGACAAACAATAATAGAATATCTTCATCGTATGAGTCCCCAAAAAGTGTTTGTATCAAGAGTGGGAGTAAAAAAAATATAATCCACATAATATTTTCCCAAGATAGAAGCATGTCATGATTTAATTATATATAAACCATAAGTATGAGTGAAATATACCTAAAAAGTTTGTAAAGTTTAGTGAATAATGAGTCAAGATATTTTCTCTACATCAGTTCTTAATTTTATACGAGAGTGTAGTACTGTAGCATGGCCGTATGACTGACAAATCCATCAACAACCATGCCATAAAATCATAAATGTCTCATTATTGGTCTCAGATTGGGTCACCCCACTTGCTCAAAATTTGACAACAAATAATAATGTTACGAATATCTCATTCAACACAATTGCTCAAAACTTGCTCAAGACGGCAAGACTTATGTCAACTTTATTTTGTACAATAAATATATAAAATAGAAAATAGAAAATATTTGATGCTTTAATTTGATCGAGTTCATCGTACATGATTTTTCTGGTCTTTTCAGTATTGTTTATATTTTATATGTAGTTTAGAAGCTATTGCATAAGAATGGAGTTTACGCAATGCACATTTTTGGTTAATGATTAAAAGTTTCAATATACTAATCCAAAAAAAAAAAAAAAAAAAAATGATGTATCTTCAATTGTAAATCATAACGTGTTAGGTTAATAAAAATAAAATCAATTTTGATTAAACTTTTTTGTAAATAAATATATTTTTACAAATATAAAATTTATAAAATTATATAATATATTTTTAATAATATAAAATTTATGTTTAAGTATTTAACAAAATATATAAATACATGAGAACAAAATAAAAAATATAAAAGAATTAACAAATAAAAGCAGGGACAAAACATAACTAAATAATCTACACCAATAATGGCATGGATGAACCGTATTACGCTATATTTGGCACAACATTGTTCACCAACGGCAAAAAAATTGTTGTTTTGGCACTCCGTTGGAGTTCAAATGTGCCAATTTTTTTGGCAAAATTTTGTTTTGCCGTCTCTTTGGAGATGGTCTAATTTTTCAGTTTTCATTCTTTGTTTTCTATTTTATTCTCTATTTTCTATTTAGAAAACTTGTTTACCACTCATTTTTCACTAAGTTAAATTTCGAGTAATTCTTAGACCTTATATTTAAAATATGAGTTAATGAACGATTTGGTCCCTCAATTATTAGCGAACTGTCAATGTTGTCACTCATTCGCTTATTCATCGATTTGGTCCCCGAAAACAATTATTTTTAGTCAATTTAGTCCCTCAGGCCGTCTTTCGTCAATGGCCGGAGGGACTAAATCGACTAAAAATAATTGTTTTCGGGGACCAAATCGAAGAATAAGCGATTGAGGGACTACATTAACAGTTCGCTAATAATTGGGGGACCAAATCGTTGATTAACTCTTAATATATATATTTTTTATATGTTTGGTTTAAATCGAATAAATATAATTTTTTTTTTTACTCTTACATGTAATATATGTAAGATTTTTACATTTGATACCCCAGAGCAAATTTATATCTCGATATAACATAATTAAAAATATATCTGAACAAATAACCTATTAAGTTCACCTAAAATATAGTTAGATAATATTAATATTTTTGAGCTAATATTTAAAATATTTTTGGATATATTCATTTGAGTGAAATGTATATTGTACAATTTTTACTTTGAAGTTGAATATATGTGAAAGTTCAGTATCTAATTTTTGAAACAAACTTATATTAAGATACAAGTAATTGTCTCGTGCAATGCACGAACTATTATTAATTTAACAAATTTACCAATTAAATTTTTGACATCCTCTGAATTAGCAAAGAAAGTAATGGTTGTGGAAACAGAAAAACGTACTTGAATTCATGAGCTCAGAATTAGTTTGATTAAAAATGTAAGTATAACTGTATAATGTAATATTTAATATTTTTAAAAGTTTAATTATGCTATTATTATGTTGATCTTAAAGTTTATTGTTAGTTGTATTATTATTTGAATTTGAATTTTGTTTTGAAAGGAATTTGAAATTGAATAACTACTTTAATTATATAACTAACGTATTTAAATAAAACTTGTAAATAAAATAACATGCGATATTTGTCGAAAATCTTCACCAAAAACTTATTCATTTGAAAAAGATTATTTATGTAAGAACTATATTTATTTTATATCTAATTTCTCCTCTTTATATATGTGGAGTCAAATTAATTATAATTGAGGTTTAAATGAATGTATACACAAATTATATTAAATATAAAACTTTACCAATAAATTTGAACACAATAAACTTTTTTCCATACTTCATTATGCTTTAATATATATATATATATATATATATATATATATATATATATATATATATATATATATATATATATATATATATATATATAGGGAAGGGATCAGGTGCATTTGTGGCTTCCCGTGTGGATGTGCGGTGGATTAATATGCGTGAGGTTTATACTTAATGTGCGTGAGATTTGTACTCAAAGTGCATGAGATTTCTACTTAATGTGCGTAATGTTAATATGCGTGAGTTTTGTACTTAATGTGCCTGAGTATTGTGTTTAATGTGCGTGAGATTTGTGCTTAATGTGCGTGAGTATTTCAGAATTACGAGCTCAGAAGGAAGCAGAACAGAAACTCACGCACATTAACGCCCAAGCTTCTTGTTACTTCTTCTTTCAATTTGGCCATGGATTCTGGATTATTAGCTACCTTCAATGCAGTTGAATGTTTATATAAATGACGCACGCACAGTAAAATTTGCACAGCAGCTAAGTGTGGATTTCTGTTGTATTATTCCCATAATTCTTAACCACCATAGCTCGCCTCCGCATCATCATCATCAGGGAGGGGGCAAATGACTACTGGGGATGGGGAAGAAGCCGACATCAATATTTTCTGCTGCATTTTACACATTCACGCACATTAAGTACAAATCTCAGGCACATTAAGCACAACACTCACGCACATTGAGTACAAATCTCACGCACATTAATCCACCGCACATCCGCACGGGAAGCATTCAACCGCACGGGAACCTTTCACTATATATATATATATATATATATATATATATATATATATATATATATATATATATATATATATATATATATATATAGAGAGAGAGAGAGAGAGAGATAGAATAATAAAATATAATTTATAAAATATAAATACACATAATAACTTCAAAAAAATATGTATAAAAACATTTACCCACACAATTAATGGATTCATACTTGCTAATCGTGTTTCTATCAAAATGCATTCACACTTTGGAGGAAAAATTGTGTGGCTAGATTCTGTTTTATTATATATAAAGATAAAGATAACATCGCTAAAAAAATCCGAATCAATAATATATTGAGTTCAAACAAAATCTAAAACTTGGTTTATAGTTCAATTTTTAAATGTGATAATGTGAATAATGTCTAATTTTAAACATAAGCAAACAAATTATGTTTATATAAGTAAAGATGAATAGAAAAAATAGAAGATGATGATAAATAAAAAAAAAAGATGATAATAAATGTAATAATACTAACTGATAAATATGTAAGTAGATAATAGTGAAAAAATAATTATACTGATATATGACCAAACAGATGATAGTGATTATGTTTTTCGTTTAAAAAACATAAAACAATAATTCTCCTGTTTTCTAATGTTTCCAAATTTCAAAATGAAAATTGTACTAATAAACATGTTTTATCTAATTCTTCAATGGTCTCTAGAGGAGAAATTCTCCAACTAGTTAATGACTATACCACTTTCTTGGGTAGAATAAACTAAAAACCAAAATCTCTTGCTCCTCATTTGACAAAAAACACTACTTGGAAGATGACAAAATGTAAAACAAATTTTGTGAATATTATTATTATTTGTTTAATGAAGTGACGCGTTATGATATGATTCAATGCACTAGTGTACAACATCATAATTCATAATGACACACACAGTAACACCTGGCCTACTACATGAATTCCCTATTTTTACTCTCTCACTTTTACAAAATATTATAAGTTATTTTTATTCTATGGGTAGCAAGAAAAATGTTAATATCAAAGGGAGTAAAAGTAAAGAATAAAATTTAGAAGTAGAAGTCGTATTTTGCATATAAGTTTGACAATTCAGTCAATTAGAAAAACACTGCAACTGATCTTCCCCAGAATTCAAGCATGTCAGCCTCCATGTTCCGAATCCTCATACCAATTATACTCTCCTTCTCCTTCTTCTATCCTATATTTCTTGAAGCGCAGAGTGGGCATCTTCCTCAAGATGAATGTGAGCCTCATCTCTCTATTGTGTTTCTGGGTGATTATGAATTACATGCAAATTACATATTTATTAACAAGTAGCTTATGTTGAATGTATATGGAAGTAATTGCACTTAAGGAAATAGCTAATCAAGTGGGGAAGAAGGATTGGGATTTTAGCCTAAATCCTTGTGGCAACAACTCCAACTGGTTGGCACCACAAAGCATAGATACACCTCTCTACACTAATAATCTCACTTGCGATTGTAACTTCTCTGCTGGTATTTGCCATGTGCTGTTCATGTAAGCTCTTCCTTCTACCCAACTGGTTGCCTTCTACCAACTCTGGTTGCCTTCTCAAGTCGTCGGAGAAGGTGACCAAACTGGTTGCCTTCTCCGACAACCAAATGACACCGGTAACTGTTCCGCCAGTGTTTTTGGTCGGAGTCTTGTCAGAGATTTGCCGGAACTTGTAATTACATGTCACCAACTAGTTTTTGGTTTTTTATGCTTTAAAATAATATGTTTAAGGATTTAATTGCAAGCTTTGAAAGTTTAAATATGTAATGTAATTGACTTTTTTAGTAGAATTCAAGAGTCTATTTGACCATTTTTTAAAAGTTAATATGGTGAAAAAAATGAAAGTACAAGAATGGGATCAATGAATAAAAACGGATGGTTTTGACCCACTATTATTGGATTAAGTAATAATTCGTTTTTGTTTCCAAAAAAAAAAAAAAAAAGAAGTAATAATTCGTTTTTTTTGACATTTACCAACCACTCCTCTACAAACAATTGTCAAATTATGTAACATAATCATGATTAAGCTAATTACCAAACAGAGCCAATACTTTATGCTGTATAAAGATGAAGTTACTTAAAGTTAATAGTACACCCTCATGGTTTTAATAGTCTATATGGTTGTGTAAGCAGAAATTTGAGAGGACAGGATCTGCAAGGTGTCCTCCCTCCTGCCTTGGTGAAGTTGCCATTTCTAAAGAGAATGTACAAACACTTTCTACATTTATGCAATAATCATCTCTTCTTCTTCATATTCTTTGCTTGATTATTAGACTTATATATTTTCTTTAGTGACCTCAACCGCAATTACTTAAGTGGTACAATTCCCCGGGAATGGGCTTCTATGAACCTGGAACTTATGTAAGTTGTGTTGTGTATTATAACCTAAGCTATTTAATGTAAGCCATCTGCTAGTCCATGCTAAAGAAGTGAAAATTTGCAGATCTCTTGCTGTGAATCGATTGTCTGGGCCGATTCCAAAATACTTGGGAAATATAACAACTCTTACATATTTGTATGTTCTCTTGCTCCTATATATCACTCTAGTTACACAAGAAAAACTTTTGTTTAACTTTTTATTATGGGGAACTTATTGTTTGTGTTTTGTTCTAACAACAAATTAAATAAACTTTCAGAAACTTGAAGTACAATATGTTCAGTGGAAGTGTTCCACCTGAGCTTGGGAAACTTGTCAACTTACAAAATTTGTAAGCTTTTGTTAATCAAATTAAATAAAAGAATCTTTCTCATCATATATATGTGCTGAATTTTTTATTTTGTTCTCACTTGTCTGATGCTTTCTTCTTTTTTGCTTTCTGTAGCTTTCTTAGTGGTAATTATCTCACAGGTGAATTGCCAAAAGAACTTAATGCTCTCACAAATTTGATAGAGTTGTAAGGGCATCATCATCATCATGCTCACTTGTTTATTCCTAATTTATGAACCTCTTTTCTTGTTTCCTCTACACTTTATGCTTACTTGTCTTGTGTTCATCAATGCAGTAGGCTCAGCAGTAATAACTTCACTGGGAAACTGCCTAGCTTTCGAAGTTTCAAAAACCTTCAAAAACTGTAAGCATTCAAATCTAACGCTCTAAAATTGAAATCATTTCTTATCGACAAGCATATATGATTGGCAGAGAGGTTCAAGCAAGTGGTTTTGAAGGACCAATACAAAAAGAATTTTCTGTATCAACAAGCTTTATAGAACTGTGAGTTAAGATTTCCTTTGACGATTTAGTTAATATTCACACACGTCACTGCTGAAAATTATGGAATTTCCGATCACATGAAAGTGATCTTATATCAAGTTGAAAGCAAATAGTGGTCGGAAATACAACAAAGGTTTTTCCGGATACCAAAAGTGGTCGGAACAAGGCTTTTGACTTGATTTAAGATCATTTTCAGGTGGTCGGAAATTCCATAATTTCCAGCATTGCGTTTTGTTTATAGCAGAACTTTCTATCGTTATTATCCACAAACTAAAATGTAATTGTGAATAACATGAATCTTCAGTAGAATCAGTGACCTAAATGGAGGTGGTGTCTCCAGATTTCCTACATTTACCAACATGACAGCCATGACAAAGTTGTGAGTGATGCATTTTTTTTTTTTTTTCCAAAAAATGAAGTTCAGTTTCATAATTCCACTTGAATTGAAAATTATTTATGTGAAAAAAATATTTTTGGGTGCAGGATGTTGAGGGGGTGTAATATTTCGGGGAAGATACCTGATTTAGCTAGTATGAAAAGCTTGGAACAACTGTAATTTCTGCAACTCGAATTTTCTCTTCATCCTTCTCAGCTCTTAATTAATGAACTATTAGATCTATTTTTTCTAATATCATATCATATATTCTCTGCTTTACTGTTTTGTTTTGATATTGAGTTTGCAGAGATTTGAGTTTTAATAATCTGGAAGGAGGGATTGATGGTCTTCAAAATGCTGATAAACTGCAGTACTTGTGAGTAACAAATCCATTTTGGTGTTAACCATTATGCACAAGAAGCTTCCACTCTAAACTAATAACCTCTCTTTGTTGTTTTTTAATTTTTTTTATTTAAATAATGAATTCAATATTACTCGCTTCTTAGGTATCTAACGAGCAACTCACTTAGTGGGCGAATACCTCAATGGGTTCTAAATCGAGGTTCCACATAGTAAGTTCAATCTTTAAAGTTGGTTATATATCCAGTGTCGTACGTGAACTCTTTTCAACTACTCTCGTCTAAAAAAACACTAACAGAATTTAAACAATGACGTACAGTTATACAGATCTTTCTTACAATAATTTTGAGGAGAACTCTTTGTCGCCAACTTGCAATCGGGAAACCCTGTAAGATTTGTCTCTTCTATGCCTTACTCTTTCAAGTGTTCCTTTAAATATGATTGATTTTAGCTTTCTCTTTTTGCTTCAGAAACTTGTTCAAAAGCTATAATGGAGGAGAAAATGGGTAAGTTTTAACATCCTCTTACAAATTAAAGCATGAATATAGTGTAACTCTAAGTAATTTAGTCTCCAAATTAAAGATTTCTAACTTTACTTCCCTTTTGGCTTTATATAGAAAATTTGGAAAGTGTCTAAAGAATTGCACTAAAGGTTAGCACATCATATCACAATACTTGCATCATGTATCCCTTGCTTAGTTGAGTTGAACTTTCACAGTGCATTTTTTTTTTTTTTTCATTTTGTGCAGATTGGTATTCATTTCACATCAATTGTGGAGGAGGCTATGTTGTAATTGGTGGCACTACATATGACGCAGATAAAGATTCATCGGGCTATGCGAGATTTGTTTCTAACAAAGAGAACTGGGTAACTAGTAATACGGGGTACTTTTGGGATAGAACCTTAAATTTATCTGACTATACAACAACAAATATATCAGTCATCAAGGGAAAAGACTCTGAAATCTACCAGACGGCTCGGTTGTCTCCTTTATCTCTAACATATCAAGGACGTTGTTTAGCAAATGGAAACTACAATGTGAAACTTCATTTCGCAGAGATAATTTTGAGAGATGGTAGATCTTTTCGAAGTCTTGGTAGACGCATATTTGATGTTTATATACAGGTCGAATAAGAACTTTACCGTTTAAATTGATCACTTCAACGGCCGAGTGATGTGCAGTTGACCATAGTGATTTTATGGCTACAGGGTGAAAGGAAATTAAAGGATTTTGATATTGAAACTGAAGCACAAGGAGTTGATAAGGCTTTGGTTAAACAATTTCAAGCAGTAGTCAAAGATAAAACTTTGGAGGTGCGCTTTGAATATGCTGGAAAAGGAATAACAACAGCCCCAATTAAAGGGTCATATGGTCCTTTAATATCTGCTATTTCTGCGGAATCTGGTAATATTAGTGATGACTCTTATATATTTGCAGATTACTTTAATTTTCCATTGATTTTGTTTAGTTGTGGATAAATTTCCTCTAAAAGATAGAGAAAATTTCAATTTTGGTCATATGACTATAGGGGTCTTGTTAATTTTACTC